TTAATAGCCAATTACGTCGTCAATTGCAATTCAATCAAAAACGTTCGTCTCAGACAAAATCAACATAAACATCTCAAGCTTGTTGTTACCTACTAAGAAACGCAGTCTAGTTTTGGCAATTTACTAAATTCCCGTTTACAACTCACTTGTAAGAATGAAAGTGTTTCGCCAAAAACAGATTTGAATTAGCGGTTGCATTCAAGGAATACTTCTATAAAATGCTATAGCAACATTTTTACAAAACGTTGCAGAACGTTCAAAGTTCTGAAAATCTCTGTCATTTACATTTTTAGTAGCTTTTATTGAAGTACCCAACTCTGAGACTGAGTTTGATTCTTTTGAATCACCGTCACTAAAACTCTGAAAGTTCATCTTTTAGTGTTTTTAAGAGCCCATCAAATTTTATTTCAAAGCTTGCAATTTAGACCGCAATCTTTCAGAACAAAGATAAGAAAAGTAAGAAATATCTACAAGACTACTTTCTGTAATACCATTTTCAACAATTTCTTTAAAATATCTGGGATCTAAATATGCTGTGTCTCTAATGATTTCCCTGTTAACTGGAAAACACTCATCTATGCAAGTGGTAATCTGATAACATATTTGAAAGGTATTGTCTATACTTCTTGCTTTGCAAATTCCATTATATTCGGAGCACTTAAATAATCTAGACCTTACGTTTATAAACAGCTTATCGCAAAATGGTGTACACACGTAATATTTGTCATACAATTATATGACTTCGAAGTTGATTTTGCATTGAATCTTGAAAACATCTTTATACTACTAATAATTTGCAAAAGAGAAAGATTCCACTTTTAGAACATCATAAGTTCTAAGAATTCGTTCAAGCGCCACCTGTTTTGAATACCAGCGTGTCTCGCTGATTTTTTGCGGCTTTTTCAGTTTAACAAATCCAACTTCTTGTCCAACGAGAACATCCATCAATATATTCATTCGTTTGCAAAAATTGCCGAAGTACGTTGCTGTACTCTGCAAGAGTCCAAATAAATTTTTGACAGCTTATAGGTTTTTCATAATATCTGCTGCGAAAAAATTTAGGAGGTGTGCGTAACACCAAATGTAAATAGAATTTTGTGAAACATCGTTAATGTAACTTTAAACTCCACGCATGTTTGCTGCTCCATTAAAGGATTCACCAACAATTCTTTCCATTTTTAAATCATGGCATTCAAGCCCTGATTTTAATAGTTGGTATAGTCCTACACTTTTTGCATTAATAACTTTTTTTACAGCAAACAATTGCTCTTTCACATCCTCTCCGTGTACATACCGCTAGATTATCATCTTTTGATCAATCACCGACTTATCTTGACTACCATTTGAACACTAAATTTCTAATCACCAATTTACTTGACTATATAATGCTTCATAGAAGCTAGAATATTGTTAACTGTGATCATTGACAACATTGTTACCAAACCTCCATGTCCATCCTTCTCTTTCCTTTGCGTATCAAGCATTTTTTCCTCTATTTATTTTCCTGAATTGAAAATATTAGTTCCAAAAAATTCGCGTGATCAATAGATTTATTGTGCAAACTGTAGGGAGATTCATACTGATTACCTCTGTACGGAAGAGCTTGCTTTCCAATAAAAATGACTGCTGCAAACATTCGTTTAAATGTATATATATATATATATATATATATATATATATATATATATATATATATATATATATATATATATATATATATATATATATATATATATATATATATATATATATATATATATATATATATATATATATATATATATATATGTATATATATATATATATATATATATATATATATATATATATATATATATATATATGTATATATATATATATATATATATATATATATATATATATATATATATATATATATATATATATATATATGTATATATATATATATATATATATATATATATATATATAGCGTTATTTTCCCTTGAAATAATTTCAAAAAGGAGAAAACAGTTTAAATTAAAGCAAACAAAGTATTTAAAGAAACTCTGTGACACACTTTTAAAAGCAAAATTAAGAAGTGTCAACGCCGATTGCTATCAAGTGTGATATACACGATTCTTTAATTGCACTGTCATAAAATGAAGGATCACGAATTTGCATATGAAGCAATAACACTAAATGGTTTTATAGTTATTATTCCTATATAACATATATTAATAATAATAATGGCGTGCATGGCGCACCGGGAAATTTCCTGGTTTCCCGTTAAAAATGTAACAAATTAAAGAGACTGTTACTGAATTTTCAATTCAAAATTATAAAAAATAAAAAAAAGACACTAATAAAATATAACATTCACAGTTAAATGTTTGTATATAAAGCACAAATATAAACGTAGCTCACCAAATTATACAAGCTATTTTTTAATTAGGCAACAACAGTGTTAACACAAAATTAAGCTGATTTAAACTTAATTATCCGATTTAAACGTCTCACTTATCAGTTTATATCACAATGCATAATATCTTAAGAAAATTTTACAACTCTACAGGAACTTATCGAACGCACAACCTTTTACTATATTCTGGAAAATTCCAAGCATTTCTCTCAGGGTAGTAACATGAAAATCTCTAAGGGCAGTACCATGAGGTTTTTTAGAGGAATTCGTTTTTGAAAAACGAAGAAGTTTAGAGTAAAACATAAATATTTTGCTACATTTTTTTAACAAAATTTGCGATTTAATCATCTCATTATATATGACGTCTCCTAAAGTTTTTACTTTTCAAATTGTTTTATCTCAAAACTCAAAAATGTGGAGATTAAACAAGAGAATTATCTTGTCGGTACCATTTAAATTTAATTTGAATTAATGTTAATGTATAAACTAATCATGACATTAATTCAAATTGTATTTAAATGGTACCGACAAAATTATACCTACTAAGATAGTAAATCGATGTAGGGAAACAATCTATTAAATGGCCGTAATCGCTTTTTCAACCAGAAAAGTTTTCATAACATTTTAATTACTTGATCAAATGCTTGCAAACTCTAATTATTTATATTCTTTTTTCACTTACTTTAGTGATAAAATTCGACAAAATATTTTTCAAGGCGATTTACTTTTTGTAAACTCTATTTGGTTGTAAAAAAAAAAAAAATTTTTATACGTCTTTTAAGCGCGATATATACGTTTTCAAAATATACGTTTACAAACTGTAAAGGAGATTGAATATGTATAGAGGAGACAAAGTCTAGTTGGTACAGAGGTAGACACAGTGTGTCTAACTTTTGAGACTTCCAATGATAACCATGAAATTTTATGGCAAAAAAACAGTTTACGAATATTCAAACATATTAATCAATAATAATATTTTTATATTCAATTACAATAAATGAAAAATCACTAAAAAAATACAGTTTTGAATGATGTCATAAAGATATTTTCTAAACTAGACAAGCTAAGTAGAACTTAGTTATGAATTGTTCTGGAAGGCAATTATGCTGTTTTGTTAATTTAAGACACGTCTAAATGTTTCTTCTTTTTGATGTTTAAATTACTTTTTTATTGACTAAAATTTTCTTTCGCTCTGCACAAATAATTCTTCTTTTATTTTTTTAATTTTTTCGCTTTTTCTTTAGTCTCGATTTCTTTTTGAAGTTCCTAGTGTATGGTTCTTCTAAGACAACAATATCTATGTACTTTTTGATTAATGAATGAATAAATGCTCGTGCCTCGAAAACCGTTTATTATTTTTTCTGGCTTTGTCTTTCATCGATTTTAAAATTTAACAAAAAATATCTGATTAATTTATTTATTTTTGATTTATTTGTTTCTTATCAGATAATTCTTCTCGTCAATCATGCTTCATTGCTGCAAACATAGAAACGTCTGTCATTTTTCGGTGGACAAATTATAATGTGAATTCAATTTTTACTTGCACTATTAAATACAATAGTAGCTTATACGAATTTTGTGTTTATAACCGTAGTTAAACAACAGTAGCTTATCTGACTTCTAAAAAAGTTTAAAAAAAACTTTTTTTTTTCAAGTAATTCTGGAAAAACTCTTTGGTTTGCCATCCATTAAGTGTTTGAATCAAAAAAAAATTGACACCTATTTTGCCAAAATAATAATTTAGGCAAAAACTTTTTCAAATTCTTTATTTAGTTCAATTAAGATTTAGTTCAAAGCTAGTATCATTAAGACTCATGAAAGCACTTTGCCTGTCGAAGTTAAAGTTTCTTAAATAAATCCTCAATTTGACCTGATAAAACATTGGCTGCTAAAAAAGTGCGAAACAACAAGGGTCTGGGTTCGGTTAGAGTATGGTATTCAATAATACTCGTTTTGCATAAGACTTTTTTTTTTTTTTGCGGACTTACTGAAGGGGGCTTGAAATACATGTCTGAATAGTTTAAAAAAGATTTTAACGCGAAACTTGGTTTCGAAATAGCTCATTTAGCTATTTCTTTCATAGCTCATAGACGTATTTAGCTATTTCATTCATAGCTCATATACGTATCCTGCATTTGAAAAATGTAATGTTTTCGATCAGTAAAAAAAAGGTTATTATTTTTTACATCAATTATTATCCGAGTACATTGTATCATCTTTAAACATTGCGTCATGGGAATGCATGACGCCTAAAATTTTACTACGCTAAATTTTCAACCGTTCAAACTTCCCATCCGATAGAATTATCAGACAATGTTAAATGATCAGTACTTTTAATAAGATTTTTTAGTAATTTGATTATTTTTGCCCGGTAAAACGGATGAAAATATCAGTAAATTAAATAGAATGATAAGCAAATTTATTTAAATGACCAGTAAATAATTTAAATATGAAAAGTAGAAAATATAATTTTTATCTGGTTTTTATTATTAATATATTGCTGTTAATAACTTTAAATAGAAAAAACATGCAGAGAATGTACATATATCGACTCATATTCCGGTCTTATATAAATAATTTTATTATTCTCTCCGTATGAAGCAAAAGAAACTTCGTGTTTAAAGTGTTAGGAAGAAAATTGAAGCTTTTCAGATTGTAAAATAATATATAGGTTCTGAAAAATAACGTAAAATTGTGCCAAGTTTTTGCGTACCAAATAATATAGTTAAAACTTTATCGCATCCATGAGTAAAACTTTTGATTCAATGATGTCATTTAGCCATTTCTCACAAAATGATAATGGATCTCCAGGTCTAAAATAAAAAATATTTCATTATTGTTAGTCATTTCTTAAAACAAAATTTAAAACCATCAAAGGCCGTAAATATTAATATAAATATATAAAGTAAATATTATCGTAAATATTAATTTAATATCTTTTTCACTATTATACGCTGAAAAAAAAGGTAAAAAAACTTTTACTTAGGGTAGGATATGTGATATACCTAAAGTATAAAATTCTACTTTCTAAGTTAGAAAATTATATTAAAAATAATGATTTTAAAGGTTACCTTAGTACGGGCATATCACATAACTTACCCTAAGGTAGAAACTTCTACCTTTTTTTTTAGAGTGTAGAGGAGGAGGAGAAAGATTCAAACTGTTTTTTATAAATCAATATTTTAATATTAACACTTTTTTAATTCTGAACAGTCAAAAAGATATTTAAATAATGAAACTGTAGTGTTTCTATAAATTTTGATCTAAAAATAAAGTTAAAAAAAGTATTCTTATTTTTTTTAACATTTATTTATTTTTCAATGCTGCCCTAATCTAGAGTAAAGCTGCCCTTAGAGTACCTTAGATTAGATTAGAGTACCTTAGATTGCTCCTGGGACAGCTTTGAACTACCACCGGTAAATAGAGAAAACTAAAGTTTTCATAAAAGTGTTTTTTTAATAAGGATTATTGTAAAAACTTATACATTCTAATGTAAATTTTAACTTTCTATTTGCAGGAAAATTTTCTATTTCTAAGAAATTTAATATTTCTAAGAAAGCTTTTTATTATACATGTTATAATCTATTTAAAAAATAGATCAAATATGATTTATGTAAAACTATCCATCCATAGATAAGATTTATGTAAAACTATCCATCCATAGATATGATTTATGTAAAACTATCCATCCATAGATAAGATTTATGTAAAACTATCCATCCATAGATATGATTTATGTAAAACTATCCATCCATAGATATGATTTATGTAAAACTATCCATCCATAGATATGATTTATGTAAAACTATCCATCCATAGATATGATTTATGTAAAACTATCCATCCATAGATATGATTTATGTAAAACTATCCATCCATAGATAAGATTTATGTAAAACTATCCATCCATAGATATGATTTATGTAAAACTATCCATCCATAGATAAGATTTATGTAAAACTATCCATCCTTAGATATGATTTATGTAAAACTATCCCACCATAGATATAAATAAATAAAATCAGAGCAAACCGAACACCGAACCGATCACCGAACCGATCACCGAACCGATCACTGAACCGATCACCAAACAAGGAAATAAAATTAAAACTTTAACTTTATTATTTTTTTAGATTTTTGTTTCTCAAGATAGACAATACAAAAACACATGTTTATTTTTAAACAAATACGAAATCAAAAACTGTATATGTAAATATGAAAGCTAAAAAAAAGTACTATTGGCATCTATTAAAATAGATTTTTATAACATACGTTTAACAAAATTTTACTTAGTAGGCATCTTCAAATATCTTCAAGTAGACATCTTCAAATATCTCAAAATAGACATCTTCAAATATCTTATAGTAGACATCTTCAAATAAATTCATCAGGTAAATTTTTTGCTGGAAAGCCAAGAAACCTTTGCATTGAATATTTTTGCGCCTTGTTTTTTTACGTTTTTTTTTCTTTTTTCTTTTTTATAAAAAATAAGACACTTATTTTTTATTAATAATAAATAAAAGAAATGGGTTTAAAAATTATATCAGGAAAAAAGTATTGCAGATTTCAAATTGATATAAAAACAATTGAATGGCTTCAGTTCAAAAATTATAATTATTCATGATTTTCAACAATTTTCGTTTTAACATTATTTCTTAATAGTAAGTGTAAAAGTCATTCTATTATTATTTATCAATTCAAAGCTTTGCCATATCAAAAAAAAAACTAATTTTTAAAGCATCATGTCTTTAAAAGATTATCAATACCCACTTGGGCACTGTTTAAACATATGCTATACTTATATACTATACATGTGCAATATAATATACTACATTTATATAAAACAATATTGCACAAAAAAAATCCTATATACACATTACTTTTAGGGATCCTTAAAACTATTTTAAAAAATGTAAAAAATTGCAAAATTATTTAAATCTTTTTTTCTCAGCTCAACTTTCTTATATAGGATACTACTTGTATTTTCTAGATATTTATACTACTTATATCTCTATATGTTGATATCCATTTGTTTACTCTCTTAATGTTTAAACCTCTTCCATCTCTACAATTGATCATAAATAGCTGCACCAAATTACTTCCGTCATGAAAAAACATTACTATTTTATGATTATAAGCTAGTATTGTAAAATCTATGATTATTCTACAAAACCAAGAAAATATATACACACAAAAAAAACTTACCGATGCACTAATCTGTTTGTTTCAAATACAAAGTAAACATTCACAGGAAAACTCTAAATTTTAAATTGATTATAAATTAAAAATCAAAATTTTAGATTTAGATACAACATTTTATTAAAATTTTATCCAACAAAAAGAGTATTTGTTTTTAAGATATTTAGATTTTTTTAAATATAATTATTTATAATTTCTTTATATCATTAGATTAAAATATTTTAGTGTTAATTTTAATTCTAATTAAACATTTATTTTTATTTATTTTTATTTTAATAATTGTAACTAATTTGCTAAATATAGCACAACATTAGAAAATTATCTGAGGTTTACAGCAGAAATTATAATTTTGGCCCTTTGTTACTCATTGCCTGAAGAGGTATTAAATCCAATAAGTTTTAATTATAAGGCAAACCTCATCTTGGTAAATTGCTGTGTAAGCATAACTATAAATTTTTAATATCTACAATAACTATTATTTTAATGTCAATAAAAATAATTAAAAAAAAATTTGAAAAGTTTACATAAATATTTTTTTAATAAGAATAAAAAATTAATATCTTTGTCAAAACTAATGTTTCAATAACTTATGATGGTTAAGTGCTAAACCAGCCTATACAACAAAGTTGAAAAAAATGAGTTTATATAAAAAAATGATTTATGTTGTGTTTCTTTGCAAACAACAATATACTATACTTAAAATATTTAAGTGCATTGGACAGCAATTATATTTATTTTGTTTGGTGCAGCAGCTTTTGTTAAAGACATTTTGTGCCTAAAGATCTTATTTTAAACTTTGTGCCTAAAGATATTATTTCAACATATTTGTTTTATATGCTGTTTTGGCGCTAAATGGTCTGTATGTTCTAAAGATGAACTCAAATTATTATTATTATTATTATTATTATTGCTATTATTATTATTATTATTATTATTATTATTATTATTATTATTATTATTATCATTGTTATTATTATTATTATTATTAATATGAATATTGTTATTATTATCATTATTATTATATTATGCTGTAGCTGGCAAGCAAAAGAGAGCGACTGTCAAAAATACACTTCAACATTCTAGCTGAATAATTTAAAATAATTACACATATACAATACACATAATATTTAGAAAATAAAAAAATTGTTAATACCTTAGGTTTAACTGTGCTAACGTCAATAGTAAAATATACTGATGCAGTAGCACGAGGGATTGGTTTCTTACAAGTAGGTATACTCCACTGCACCTTATACCTAAATCTTTTACTATATTTCTTTTGATCTTCACCAATAAAGAATATACAATATAAAAAATTGCAAGATACTTTCCATGTCTGAAAAAATCAGATACATGATTACTTTTATAAGTAGAAATCAAACAAGTACTCAAATAACATTAAAATATATATATATTAAACAAAAATAACATAACAATTTATGCTTGATGTTAACTTGTGGGAGTTTTTATTTCTAAAAAAATTATTTAAAGGAGAATGCAGCTTCAATCTCATATCTGTTTATGAATAAGTTGAAAAGCAACAGATCATTTCATAAATTATGAAAAAGAAAAAATGAACAAGATATCTAATCTTCCTAATTAAAGACCAAAACCTTCTTAAACAATCATTGACACACAGAGAGCTTTAAGTTGAATCAGATCAACTTACTGAGGTGATTCACTGTGACTCATGACAATTGGCACATAGTAAATTGCCTCCTTAAGCTTATCAAATACTCTTCTCTAAGATTTGAGTAACTTGTTCTGAATCAATAATAGTTCTTCAATACAAGTAAAAGTTTCATTTAAATGACAAAACTTTTTTTGTAAACCTCGTTTTTTTTTTTTGTAAACCTTGTTTGCACTACAATTGCAAACCAATTTTTTTTTCAAGTTTAACATTTTTATATTTCATATTTGTGTGGTTTGAACAAGTTTCTATCTTGTTCTATCTATAAGAATTCTTTCTTGTTATATGAGTATGACATAAAAAATATATGATAAGTATATATAAATTAAGGCAATTTTTTACAATCGGATGCACATCCCAACATGAAATTTTGCAGATCAGATTTTTGTGATACTACAACTGTGAGGATTACTAATTCTTATGAACTCCTCTAACCCATACCTCCTCCTACCCATACCCACAACTTTACTATATGCTTTTTTAGGCTTCTGTAGAACTTAAATATTTTTGGCCTCAACTACAATACATCCCCAGGGCATCATAACATATATTTGTATCTCAATACTCATGAAGATTATTTATGATACATAAATGTTTTATTAATCATTATACATAAATGTTTTATTATTTATTATACATAAATTTGTGTAGTTGTTTGAACTAGTGAAGTTGTTTGAAGGCTACTTTATTGTGGTTACAACCCTTTCTCAACTCTTTAACTTCAGAACACAAACCTTGACAAACAAGGTTGCTGCACATAAAAACAATCTCATTTTGTAAAAATATTACACCTTGGTTACATAAAAATAATGGATACATGTATTACATGTTACAGTATGGTTACAGTAACCAAATTATAATGTAAAGTGTTACATCTCAATAGGTAACATTATTATAGGGGTATTATTCCTGCAATAAGTAAATTATGATCTAGAGTGTATAAAATATGTATTATGTGTAAACCTTTTCTAAATTTATTTTAAATACTTTACTAAATAGCTTACACACCGAAATGAATTCCTTTATTTTCGCTTTTCCACGATCTATTGAAAATTCATCTATTGTCATCCAGTTAAGCTTATCTTTGTCATTTATAGTTGCACTTTTAGTGAGTTCGTCGTAAGTATTATTTATAAAACTGTTTATCAAAAGCTTTGCTTCCAAGGAGTATAAATCATCTTTTTCAAAATCCATGTTTTGGTGTTTATGTTGTTTATATTAGTATAGGTCATTTTGGCCTCATGTTTGTTTCCATAACAACAGATAAATTTTATTGAAAAGTTGAATAAATGCGAATTTCATAAGTGGCGATGTCACATAAAATTTTGCAACTAGGAAATTTCGCGGCTGCGGCATAATTTCCTAGGAAAATCTGCAGCTCAGCTGCATTATATCCTAGGAAAAATTGCCGCTCGCAGGAAAATTTCACGCTTATTTCTCTTTACCTTTCTTGATATCATTTTATAAATATGGACGACGAAGAATACAACAATCTTGTTGATTTAACTGTCAGAGGAATATACCCTCAAGGCATCGATAAGATTAACAAAGATGGGTTAAGAAGAAAGTCCAAAAGATATTTGGTAAAAGATGGCCTACTTTTTTACTACGTTAAAAAAAGAAACATGTATCTGCTAGTAGTTCTAACAAGTCAAAAAACTATGATTCTCGGAGGCTGTTATTCTGCAATTCTTGGTGGTGGTCACTTTGGTCAAGATAAAACATTAGTAAAATTCTCAGAGAGGTACTACTGAAAAGGGATGGTAAATGATGTGAAGAATTTTTGTAAATATTGCGATAAATGTCAAAGAGCAAACAGGTATGTTTGTTAAATAACTTACTTTTTTATATACTAAAGTTTATTATTTAATAATTACTTAAAGCAATAACAACAATAACAATTGTAATTTATAATACTACAGGTATTATTATTAATCCTTATAGGTATTATTAGTAATAACTTAGATAATATATTATCTAAGTAATAACAAAAATTAAACATAACTGTAAAAAAATTTTCAAATAATATAAATTGATAAATACTTATTTAACTAAAATTATAATTTGTAACTAATCTTAAAATATGCATAATTTCTATTATTTCTTTCATAATATACTTTATAGAGCATTTGAAAAACACTCAGCTGAACTACATCCTATCGAAGTTAAAGATGAAGTATGGAGTACAGTTGGAATCGATTTAATTGGACTTCTTCCTTTAACAGAAAAAGGAAACAAATACATTATAACAGCAACCTGTTTATTCTCCAAGTGGCCTGAAGCAGCCTCCTTATCTGATAAAACAGCTACAAGTGCAGCAGAGTTCTTGTATACATGCAGGGTGTTAACCAGCCTGATGGCACCGCTTATAACGCGGTATTCCCAATTGGTTTCAAATTCCCAAAGGTTCATAAGATCAAAGTAAAAAAAAAAAAAAAATTAAATCAGTCTCAGATTTTAAGTGTCGCGCTAGAAAAGTAAAAAACGCAATTAGAAGCATGACAAAAAAATAAATTAAATTGATTTTTTTAATGTGTAAAAACTTCGTCATTAACAAGCGTCCATACATTAACATGATCATTCGTTCAAAAGTTTGAAAAATTTTTTAATTTTAATTTTTATTGACAGTTAATTTTGAGTTAAGATTTTTTAAAGTTTAATAAATTATTTTATTAATTTATTTTTATTATTCAAAAACTCTTTATTTATGTTTTTGCTGTTTATTTTTAAGTTAGTAAAGTTACAAAGAAATTTGCATAATAATAAATATTATACTTTAAAATAAGTTAATAACGTTTTTGTAATAAAAGATTTATTAAATACTCTCAGTAAAATAAATTAGCAGGTAAAGTAAATTCAAAATAACAACAAAACTAATCAAAAATAAAACTTGCAATGAAACATATTATCTATGTTATATTTATGTAAAAGGTAAAAGAAGATAATTAGATAACATTATAATATTATTAATTATTAACCAATATTTATAAATATAAAATTTTTTTTTTTAATTTACAAATACAAACTTTATGTAGATATTTAATGAATGTAATATAAATTGAAAAAATAATAATAATAATAATTTTGTATTTAAATACATTTTTTTTATTTAAATACTTAATTTACTAGATATTTAAAATACGCCAATTAAATTTAATTGCTGCCCTCGTGCGGTGAAAGTTTCTCGCTTTGCCCCTTATATGTCTTTGTTACTTATTTAAATTAAAGTAGCATATTGCAACAAAAGTTCTTTTAACAAAAATTATATTTGACGGAAATCGGCGAGCCAACCAAGTTTTTCTATTAAAAGTTATTAAAATTTTGAAAACTTTCATTTAATTTTCATTTAAAAGCTATTGATTTAAATAAGTTTTAAAACTGTTAAATTTATCTAATGATAAAAATTTGACATTTGTAAAAAAGTTTTTTAAGTATTTTAAAATACTAAAGTATTTAAATAGTTATATAGTCAAATATATTTTATCGTTTAAACCTTTCAAAACTGTATTAAAAAAGCGATGTACACAATTAATCTAGATCAAAGTTTTAATGAAGTTTAATAATACATTCATTAAAACAGCAAACAATTGTCTTTAGTTCTTGATTTCTCTCTTCTTTACTGCAGCCGTTTTTCAAAGTGTCTTATGTAAAAAAAATCAATTTGGCTTTTTTACCAAATAAGCTAGTTTAGATGTCTAAATGTAGAAAAACGTTTGTATACAAACGTTTTTGAATACATATTTTTAAAGAGTTCTAAAAAAATTCATAAAAATTATTAGTTTCAAAAAGCGTTTTACAATGAGTTTCTCCAAATAATTCTTTTTAATTACGTTTTTCTTGAAATACGTAATAAGCTTATAAAGGCGTTTTGAAAAATGGCTACAGTATATCAAAAAAAGAGGAGAAACAATTTAAAAATGAAAACATTAGAAAATTTCCCATAATGAAACAAGCTAAATAATTAGAATTAAACATTTATAAAGTAGAAAAATAATCCTGCTGTAACTATAACACCCAGCAAAAAAAGAACATTTATTTTTATTAAAATTTAATTATATCTTTTTTTTTATTTTTATTTTTTTTATATTTTTTTTTTTATTTTTATTTTTGCCGTTTAATATTACAATAACTAAATTTATTTTACAATTTTTTACATTAGTAACGACAGGACTTCTAGAAGATCATGAGGATCTTGTCATGAAGCCCTTTACAATATATGGTTAACTTTTAATAAAAATACAATGTCTGTAGTGAAATAATAATACACCTCTATGCACAAATATTTAAAAACCAAGATAAAATGTTAAAAAGCCAAGATAAAATTTTAAACCAAATAATATACAAAATAAAACAACAACAAAAACAAAACAAAAAAAAAAGGCAATTAAAAATAAATCAAGATATTTTCAATTAAAAATATAATTTTTTTAAGTTTCTGTTTGAATGAAGCAAAAGTCATTTGGGTTGAAAAATCAAAATTTGGTAAGACTATTTTGTTCCAGAGATAAGGACCTCGGTAAGAAACAAAAAACTGGTCTTTGCTTTTACGATAAAAAGGGGCAATAAGACTGTTATTAATTCGAAAATTATATTTGTTTTTAGGTTTCATACAATAAAAATTTTGTAATACATTTGGCGACAAATTTTCTCTACATTTAAACATGAAACATAAAATATTAAAGACATTTAGTTGATATACATTTAAAATATTCATTTCTTTAAAAAGTTGTTTCGTGTGAAAAAAATGATTTTTAAAATTTATTACGCGAGTTGCGTGTTTCTAATGAAGGTAAAGAGATTTTAGCTTTGTTCTGTGAGTGCTTCCCCATATAATATTCGCGTAGTTTATATGACAATGTATAAATGAATAATATAATTGTGTTAACTGGTGTTTACTTAATATATTTCTTGCTTTATAGAGAATTCCGATACATTTAGCAATTTTATTGGAGGTATTATCAATATGATTTCTCCAAGATAGGTTTTCATCAATATATATTCCAAGAAATTTAGTAACTTTTTCTCTTTTTATTATTATATTATCAATTAGAAGGTCTGGCATGATATGGGGCAGTTTCTGGTATTTTAAAGGTGGATAAAAAAGTGTACATTTAGTTTTTTCTATATTTAGAGACAATCTATTTTGTTTATACCAAACAGAAACTTTTTTAAATTCATTTGTCATATTTGTAAAAAGCATATTAATATCTTTATGAGACAAAAACAAATTTGTGTCACCTGCAAAATTTATTGTTCTTAAATTTGATGATTTATGAAGATCATTTATGTATATTAAAAAAATAAGAGGACCAAGTATGGACCTTGTGGGACACCACATGTTATATTCATTAATAGATGAGATATAGAATCTCTATTGTAAACAAACTGTTTACGGTTAGTAAGATAACTTTCAAACCATAATAGGGTTTTATCTTTAATACCATATGATATTAGTTTTTTTAATAGGATTTGATGATTGACGGTATCAAATGCCTTGGACTAATCAATAAACACTCCTAGTGTAAATCAAGAGTCTTTAAATGAGTCGGTTATATTGCGCGTAAGTTGAAAAATGGCATGCTCGGTTGAATTATTTTTTTTGAAACCAAATTGGTTTTCGTATAGAATTTTATTTTCAACAAGATAAGAGTAGATTCGGTTGTACATTATTCTTTCTAAAATTTTTGAAAAAACTGAAAGAACTGAAATAGGGCGATAATTTGTTATATTTGTACGATCCCCTGTCTTGAAGATTGGAGTTACTTTTGCTATTTTTAGTTTATCTGGAAAAGACCCTTGTAAAATGGATGCTCTGAAGATTTTATAAAGAATATCTTTTATAACATCGTATGAATCAATCGCAATATTTGTGTTAATATCATCATACCCAGTAGCTTTATTTCGTTTTAATGACTTAAAAGCAACCTCAAATTCATTAAAAGCTAACTCAGTAAAATTTAGATTAGAACTTATTGATGTTTCGAACTCATCAACAGATTTATCTTTAATGAATGAAATACTATTGTTAATTTTGTGGAGAAAAACTTGTTAAATTCAAATGCAATATCATTTACATATAAATATAACATATAATTACTAGAAATAACTAATACTAATAACATATAAATACTAGAAAATTTTACAACAATTTATTTGAAACAGGAACAATACCAATAATAAATCGACCAACAAGAATTACAAATTATTCATCCACTTTATTTGATAATATCTTAACTACTGACTTTTTTAATATATCGCTTAAAAAAGGAATAATT